GAAATAAAGCCGGGCAAGTATGGGTATAAATATCTACTGGTTTTTATAGATACCTTTTCAGGATGGCCGGAGGCATTCCCGACAAGACACGAGACTGCCGCTGTGGTGGCCAAGAAGCTATTGGAAGAAATCTTCCCCCGATACGGGATGCCCCAGGTAATAGGGTCAGACAATGGTCCAGCCTTCATCTCCCAGGTAAGCAGAACAGTGGCCACCTTGTTGGGGATTGATTGGAAACTACATTGTGCATATAGACCCCAGAGCTCAGGGCAGGTAGAGAGAATGTACAGAACGATTAAGGAGACTTTAACCAAATTGACGCTTGCAACTGGCACTAGAGACTGGGTCCTCCTGCTACCACTTGCCCTGTATCGGGCCAGGAATACGCCGGGACCACATGGGTTGACCCCATTCGAGATCCTGTTCGGGGCCCCGGTGCCCATTGTTAATTTCTTAGGCCCTGATGTTTCTGACTATGCTAATACTCCTTCTCTACAAGCCCATCTACAGGCCCTCCAGCTGGTCCAGAAGGAGGTGTGGAAGCCTCTAGCCCAGGCGTACCGGGACCAGAGAAACAATCCGGTCGTGCCCCATCCGTACCAGATCGGAGACGCTGTCTGGGTCAGACGCCATCAGACCAAAAACCTCGAACCTCACTGGAAGGGACCATATCTGGTTTTGTTGACCACTCCCACCGCGGTAAAGGTTGACGGGATTGCCGCTTGGATCCACACGAGCCACGTCAAGCCGGCCCGATCAGACGATCCTCAGCCACAAAGGACATGGACAGCCCACCGTACTCAAAACCCTCTAAAGATAAGACTCTCCCGAGTTGTCTGATTGTCCTACTACTGTTTTCCCTTTCCCCTATGGGGATTGAGGGAAGCCCGCATACCCCCCAACAGCTGACTTGGCAGGTGTTCTCCCAAACGGGGGAGATGGTCTGGTCCCTCTCAGGCTACTATGCACCTGGCACCTGGTGGCCCGCCCTCACTCCCGACTTCTGCCAGCTGGCCGCAGGGCTGGAGACCTGGGATATTCCCACAGTCGGAGCCCACGAGATTACTCAGACAGTGGAAACCCCTCTGCCACCCCTAGGAAAGACCTGGCCACAAGGGTGTCGCGACCCTAGAGCTAGGTGTCTCCTGGCACAAATGGATTTCTACGTCTGCCCCCAACAGGGACAGTCTAGAGCCTTAAGATGTGGGGGATATGAAAATTATTTCTGTGCCAATTGGGGTTGTGAGACCACGGGAGACGCCTACTGGAAACCCCGGTCATCCTGGGACCTGATTGAGGTACACCGAAATTATTCGCGGCCTCCTCTGGGCCGCTTTGATTGCGATTATGGCTCCAGTAGATGGGGCTCTTGGTCCTGCAACTCAGCCACCTGTCTCCCCCTCAACATTACCTTCACCCAACAAGGCAAACAGGATTACACCCAGTGGCTGAGGGGAAAGACCTGGGGGCTGAGATGGTACATGCCATGGGAAGATAGGGGCGTTACTTTTACGATCCGCTTAGCCGTCCAAGCCAGTCCAATGCCTATTGGACCGAACCCCGTGCTGGCGGACCAACGGCATCCCTCCGACCCATCCGCCCCTAAGCCAGAGTGCCTTCCCTCACTGAACGCCACCAATTCGCCCCCCCCGCCAGCTCCACTGAGGTTGCCCAACCCGGCACCAGGGACCAGCTTATAGGCCTTATCCAGGGGGCCTACCTAGCCCTAAATGGGACTCAACCTGACAAGACCCAGGATTGTTGGCTCTGCTTAATGTCAAGCCCCCCCTACTATGAGGGCACTGCGGTGGTCAGGAACTATTCCAACCACACTTCTGGACATGCAGGACCCACAGGAAAGTGACTACTGAACTCAGTCTTACAGGGTCCACGTGTGCCGAGGGATCCTCACACCGATTGACCCTAACTGAGGTCTCAGGACAGGGTACATGTATAGGGAAAATTCCTCCCTCTCATACCCTCCTCTGCAACTCTACCCAGACCTTGGGTCCAGGGACATACTATCTAGCCGCCCCTAACGGCACTTACTGGGCATGCAGCACAGGCCTGACTCCCTGTGTTTCCGCCGCCGTTATGAACATGTCCCGGGACTACTGTGTCCTAGTTCAGCTGTGGCCGAGAATTACTTATCATACCTCAGAATATTTTGTCAGCCAGTTCGAAGGAAGATCCCAACTTCGGATCAGGAGGGAGCCGGTCACATTAACGCTGGCCCTCATATTGGGAGTCGGGGGAATAGCGGCCGGGATAGGCACTGGTGCTAAAGCTCTTTCAGAAACCACCCAGTATCACCAGCTACAGACAGCCATGCAGTCAGACATTAGAATCCTTGAAGAATCGGTAACGGCCCTTGAGAAGTCACTCAAGTCCCTGTCTGAAGTAGTCTTGCAGAATAGGAGAGGTCTGGACCTATTGTTCCTTAAGGAAGGGGGATTATGCGTAGCTCTAAAGGAAGAATGTTGCTTTTACACCGACCACACTGGAATCGTGAGAGACAACATGGCTAAGCTGAGGCAGAGATTAGATCAGAGACAGAAATTCTTAGATGCCCAACGGGGCTGGTTTGAAGGCTGGTTCAATAAGTCGCCCTGGTCTACTACCCTGATTTCTGCCATAGCAGGGCCCGTAATGGTTCTCATTTTCATCCTGATATTGGGACCCTGCCTTCTTAACCGTTTAACCCAGTTCGTGAAGGATAGGTTCTCTGTCATACATGCAATGGTTTTAACACAACAGTATCAACAACTCAAACAGATGGATCCAGAGCTGACTGAGTCATCTGAATGAAAGATTCCATTCAGTCACAAGAGAAATGGGGGAATGAAAGACCCCTTCCCGGTATAGCCTGCCAGGAACCGTCTGAGTTCATTCTAAGGTCGAGGGCTTGACAAACAGGATATCTGTGGTGGGCCATCTGGAACTAGGGATGGAGATTACCCGGAATTTCCCAACCAAAATGTGCCCAAGATAAAGCCAAGTCAGCCACCCGCAACTTCCTTGTATTCAAGCCAGGTAACCTCAGTCTAACCTCTCGCCTCATTTGAATTGACCAATGGAAATCCTGTAACCATGCATCTGCTTCTGTACCCGCGCTTTTTGCTACATAAGGCGTCCCTGTTCCCCATCTGGGCGCGCTTGGTTCCCGAGACCAAGACGCCTGGGTACCCGTGCGTGATCAATAAAACCTCTTGCTGATTGCATCCATACGTGTGGCCTCGCTGATCCTTGGGGAGGGTCTCTCAGATTGAAAGTATCCCAATTGTGGGGTCTTTCAACATTTGTTTTTTATGTTTATTATCGAGATAGCCAAGACCAGCGTCTAGATCATGGTGTGAGTCTGGCCTTGGACTTCCGAGCCTTTGGCTCCCACCTCCCAAATGCTGGGATTACAGGTGTATACTTTATCAAGGCCAACACACACACACACTATTTTTTAAACTGGAGTTCCAGACACCGAGAAAATATATAGTATTTGTCTTTTTGAGGCTTGCTTTTGTTTTGTTTTATTTTGTCTCACTTCCTGTCTTTTTTGTTTGTTTGTTTTTTGTTTTTCGAGACAGGGTTTCTCTGTATTGTTTAGGAGGTTGTCCTGGAACTCGCTCAGTAGACCAGGCTGGCCTCGAACTCACGAGATCCACCTGCCTCTGCCTCCCGAGTGCTGGGACTAAAGGCATGCGCCACCAATGCCCAGCCTGAGGCTTGCATCTTAGTGTACTGGTTTCAGTTGCACCCATTTCCCCACAATGCCATGATTTAATTTTACAGGAAGATGGCATGCAGTTCCCTTGTATGGCTGAGTGAGATTTCGCTGTATTGAATCAAATTATGTGTATTTGAACTGTGTTTTCGTTTTTACTTGGTAGTCTGTTGGTGCAGGTCCAGGCAGTATTTCCTGGAACACTGTGGTTGGTTGCTCCCTCTTTAGAAAGGTAGAGAGTACGATGTTGCCCACATCCTGAGGGCATACAATAGTTGTTTTTCTCCTGTGTGTTAGGGTGGGCAGGCAGAGTCTTATCTTACTCTGAAGCCTGGGTAGCCTAGAGCTCACGGCAGTCTCTCCTCAGTCTCCCAAATGCTGGGGTTACGGGGTCACAGGTGTGAGATGCCACCACACCTGTCAGCAGAGTCTGGCATACCAAGTTGAGCGGGGACCAAGACCCTCCCCCCTGTATCAAGGCTGAGCAAGGTATCCCCCCTCCCTCCCTCCCTCCCTGTCTGTCTGTCTGTCTGCTGTCTGTCTGTCTCCTTGTCTCCTGCCTGCCTGCCTCCCTCCCTCCCTCCCTCCCTCCCTCCCTCCCTCCCTCCCTCCCTCCCTCCCTCCCTGTCTGCTGTCTGTTTGTCTCCTTGTCTCCTGCCTCCCTCCCTCCCTGCCTGCCTGCCTCCCTCCCTGCCTGCCTGCCTCCCTCCCTCCCTGTCTGTCTGTCTGTCTGTCTCCTTGTCTCCTGCCTGCCTCCTTCCCACCCTCCCTCCCTCCCTCCTTTCCTCCCTCCCTCCCTGTCTGCTGTCTGTCTGTCTGTCTGTCTCCTTGTCTCCTGCCTCCCTCCCTCCCTCCCTCCCTCCCTCCCTCCCTCCCTTCTCACTCTGTCTGTCTCTCTCTTTGTTTTTGTTTTGTTTTTTTCTTTTTCCAGACAGTGTTTTTCTGTATAGCCCTGGCTGTCCTGGTACTCCCTCCCTCTGTAAATCATGCTGGTCTGGAACTCACAGAGATCCATCTGCCTCTGCCTCCCTAGTGCTCTGATCAGAGGTGTGCACCACCAGTGCCAGGCTTTAGTTTTCTGTTGGTCCTCATTTAGGACCCAAGGTGGCCTCTGATTTGCCAAGTGTCTGATGTCCTTGAACCCCAGATCCTCCCACCTCCACTTCCCAAGTGCAGCCCTTCTGCAAAATGTCCTAAGGTCGGGTCTCAGCCCCCCTGCCCCCCCCCTTGAATTTGGCCAGCGACATGACACGACCCCACCCCCTTTCCATCTCCAACTCACTGGCTCCGATGTCCAGGGGGTGAATCAGGAGCCAGAAGATAAGAACCCACATGGTTGTCAGGTGCAGGGTCCAAATCTGTCTTCCCCTAAGAAATGAGACCTCAGAGAACTTGCAACTGAGATCCGTTGTGGGGAAGGCGTTGGCAACTAAGTAGGCGGGCTTTTAGGGGGTGTGTCTTTTCGGGGATTCCCCAGCCGAGCTCTCCATCAGGATGAAGGCATTCTTTGTGGGGGATGTATGTTTGTGTGTATGTTGTGTGTGTGTGTGTGTGTGTGTGTGTGTGTGTGTGTGTGTGTGTGTGTGTGTGTGTGTGTGTGTGTGTCCCGCTGGCTCTGAGTACCACAGTTGAGTTCTCTCCGGTTGGAACCTGGCTGGCGGGCTGAAACCTTGCGGAAGCTCCAGCTTGCTTACTTTTGAATTCTGGCCCCGTCTCCTCTGTGACCCAGAGCCTTCCCTTCCCCCACCTCCCGACAGTTGCCGCCAGACCACAGCACTTCAGTTTCCAATTCCTTGGATACTTCCCCAATGTAATATCTTTTTTGGGGGGAAGGGGCACCCACAAGTGACTCGGTCTCCACCTGGAGCCTGTTCTGACTTAATAAGGCATTAAGAGTTCGGGCTTGCTTGTTGCAGCCTCCTTGAGAGGAGGTTCTTTCTGATTAAGCCCCACATTATATAACACATTATAACGTGCACCCGGAGATAGGGAAGGAAGCTGCTTGCTTCCAGCAGGTCTCACGTGATAGGCAGCCAGGCTGTCCTCTCGCCCAGCGACAGAGCTGGGGGCCGGTTTACCGACTACGCTGCTCTTCGTTCCGCTTTGCCTCTAGTCTATTTATAAGCGGGGTCTAAATTAAACTCGGGGCTGTCCGGTGTGCTGAAAGGCATGAAACGGGCAGTCCGCCCGAATCTATGTGTTTCTGCCTCTGTTTCTTTGATCTGCCCTTTCTCTATCCTCACGCCCCTACCCAGGTGTAACCCAGCTGACTCTTGTTGAGCAAGCTCTGACACATCTGTCTCTCTCTCCCTTTCTTCCTCTTTCTCTTCCTTTTTTTCCGAGATAGGGTCTCTATATATAGCCCTGGCTGTTCCAGAACTCACTCTATATAGACCAGGCTGGCCTCGACTTCAATAGAGAGATTCCTGCTTCTGTCTCCCAGGTGCAGCGCCTGGCTCACTTCCTGTTCTTATAGAGGACCCAGGTTCAGGTCCTAGCACTCAACCCTTTGTAACTCCAGGGGATCTGATGCCCCCTTCTGGCCTCCGTGCTTACTGCACTCACATGGAGTACATGTATAGAGTAGTCAAACATACACATAAAATAAAAACATAAATCTGGGGCTGGAGCGGCGGCTCAGTGGATAAGAGCACCCAACTGTTCTTGCTGGGTTCTTGGCAAGACCTGACTGAGTTTGGTTCCTGACACCCATGGCAGGTGAGTCACCGAACTCCATTCTGGGGGATCTGATCCTCACCTCTGAGGGTTACACACACACACACACACACACACACACACACACACACACACACACACGTATACATAAATAATTAAAAATTAAAGCAAAACAAATCTTTAAAACCATGGCATATAAAACTGGGCATGGTGGTATGTGCCTTTAGTTCCAGTACTTTGAAGGCAGAAGTGGGTGTCTGTGAGTTCCAGGTCAGTTGGGGCTACACAGTGAGACCCTGGCTCAAAAAAAAATACATATGGAGGAAATGTGTTTAAACAGTAATGGCCATATATGGAACTTTGGTCAACACCTTGCTGACTAGGAAAGAAGGCAGCTCGGTTTCATCGCTGTTACTCAGTGTAACTGTGAGTTATCAGGGCAGTGGGGGAAATGTGTTTAATACAGTAATGACCATATATGGGAAACTTTGGTCAACACCTTGCTGACTAGGGAAGAAGGCAGCTCGGTTTCATCGCTGTTACTCAGTGTAACTGTGAGTTATCAGGGCAGTGGGGGCAGTTTAGGGGTGATTGGACCATGGGGGCCTCCGTATAACTGAGCTTCTAGAATAAAGTGGGTGAGCTGGTGTGGAAGACAAAGGCAATTCTTCAGGATCTCCCCTCCCCTCCCCGACACACACACACACACACACACACACACACACAGGAACCATGAACTAAGTGGACCCCCCCCAACACACACACACAGAGGAACCATGAACTAAGTCAGAACTCTGTTGGAGAAGAAAACAGCATCTTAGGCAAGAGGAAGACAGAAGCATGAAACCTTAATGCAAAGCGAGTCGTTTGGGGTTTTCCTGGTCTCCAGGGTGAAAGGTGAAACACAGTGTCAAATGTATTCCAGTGTTCAGGAGGCTGACACAAGAGGTTTGCCGTGAGTTCTAGGCAAGCTGGGGCTACGTAGTGAGTTGCAGGCCAGGGCACAGTTGAGACCCTGTTTCAGTAAAAGGGGTGATGGGACTGGACACGTGCAGCTGTTAGGAGTGACTGGAGTTTGGCTTCCAGAACCCATGTCCAGCAGTTCATAGCCACATGTAACTCCAGTTCCAGATACACTCGTCTGGACTAGTCGGTCACCCACAGGTACAGATACACACAGAGACACGTGTGCAAACACGTATTTAAAAACAATAGTAAGGCCCAGCACTCCAGAGGCAGAGGCAGGAGGCAGGAGGATCTCTATGAGTTCGAGACCAGCCTGGTCTACAAGAGCTAGTTCCAGGACAGCCTCCAAAGCCACAGAGAAACCCTGTCTCGAAAAACAAAAACAAAATAAAAGCAATAGTAAGCCAGGCGGTGGTGCACATCTTTAATACCAGCACTCGGGAGGCAGAGGCAGGCAGATCTCTGTGAGTTCGAGGCCGGCTGGAGCGACAGCCTCCAAAACAATACAGAGAAACCCTGTCTCGTAAAACCAAAAAAAAAAAAAAGTAAAATTAAACTACATAACAAAGAAAAAAAGTGGTCGAAGGACCTGTCTGCAAAGCATGACACACCTATGAAGAATTGTCAAGATTCACTATCGGAGAAATGCACCCAGATCCACGGTGACACACCACTTTTGTTGGAGTGCCAGTTAGCAACAGCAATAGCGGGCAGAAAAAAAAAAAAAAACGTGTGTGTGTGGGTGGGGTAGGGAGAAAGTAAATTACCATAGCCATTATGGAAAGCAGCATGGACATTCCCCCAAACTAAAAAATATAGCTACTGTAAGACCCAGATATTCACCAGTAGATATTTACCAAAGGAAAGGGAAGGTCCTAAGAGATGGCTCAGCCTGCCATGCAAGCGTGAAGACCCGAGTTCAGATGCCCAGCATCCCCAGGGAGATGAACAGGTTACAGGACTCTCTGGAGCTCCCCGCTACCCAGCGTGGCTGAACTGCTAAGCTCCAGGTTCAGTGAAAGGACACTGTCTTAGAAAATGAGTCGAGCAGAGATCAAAGAGGACAGAGCAAGCCAGCCTCCGACTCACACAAAGACACACACCCACGTGCACGTGTGCACACATGGACAGATCCAACATGAAAAAAGAGTGGAGTCTTTCAGTTCAGGACAGCAAGGGTGGAGCCGCAGGACTTTTATGTTAAGTGTAGTAACCCAGGCACAGGAAGACGAATGCCTCTTACACGGATGCTTAGAGAGCTTATCTCACACCAAGTGGATTAATGACCATGAGAGGGGTACGCGCTTCGTATAAAGAAAATAAGACTTGCTTGAGCTCAGTTTGGGGTGGGGGGCGGGGCTTATGAGCACAGTGACTGAGTCAACTCAGAGCTGATGAACTTGTATCGGGGGATGACCGAGTCACACACGGACGACTCACCCGCTGAGTCATGTCAACAACCTTTCTTCTTCTGTGGTTGTAGGGCTTTGTATAGCCAAAAACAGTGTTTTACTCGCCAACCCAATAAGAGAAACATATATACAGAAGGACGTCCCCCACCAGGCTAGGTTTTTACATTTTTTGTTTGTTTGTTTGTTTTGGTCTTGTTACGGTTGTGTTGGTGGCAGGGTTGTGTTGCATGTATGCTGTGGCATGTGTGTGGAGCTCAGGGGACACCTTTGTAGGGTCGGGTCTCTTCCGTCTTGGTGGGATTCTAGGTCCTCACAGAGGAGTCTGGAGAGGGCCCTGGGCTTTGGGTCCTGCCTTTTCTTGGCAGAGAGAAGGGAACAGGAGCTGCCGTTGTACCCTCCAGTCTCCTCTGGATGCAGGGGATTCAGTGGCCTGCAGCAGCTGCCTTCAGTGTGGCAGGAGGAGGTAAACCCAGGTCATCAGAGGCTTCGAAGCAAGCACTTTTCACTGGGGGTGGGGTGGGGGACCATCTCACAGGCCCCTGGGTGGGCTTTGAGCTTCTTTCACTGATATGTTCACAGCTCCCAGGCTGTGAGTAGACACCAGTCCTGCACACTTTGTCCTGCAGCCCACGTGCTCTGAGGGTCTGAGTTTTCCATTCCTAGGACATGGAATCTTGCTGTTGGCCACTGCTGGGTCTAACTGGTATTCCAACAGACTATCGAGCGACGTGAACAGGAACTAAGGGGGTGACGGCATTAAACCCTTTAAACCTGTGATGTTTCCCGGTCCTGTTGAGGGGCTGAGCATGGGGTGGGAAGGTAGGAGGCTGAAGCTTGCGCAGGAGGGGCCCTGTGATGTTTCGGCGGGAAAGAACTCTTGCCACGGAGCTGATAGCCTTGACCTCAGTTTGATCTCCAGAACCACACATCAAAGGAGAGAACCAACTCCCCAGGACATTGTGCTCTGACCTTTGCATGCCTTCTGTGTTGTGCATGCATCTACACAAAAATAAACGCTTAAAAAAAAAAAGCCGAGTGTGGTGGCGCACGCCTTTAGTTCCCGGCACTCAGCAGGTAGAGGAAAATGGATTAATGTGAGTTCCAGGCCAACTAGATATGCATAGTTGGACCATGCTCAAAAAAATGAAAATTAAAAAAAAAAGCCCTTCCCCCAAGTGGGGAAAGAAAAAAAAAAAGCAAACCCTTGAGCTGGCAAGAAGATCCAGTGGGTAAGGTCAGCGTTTGGCCCCAGGGACCAAACTCTTGCTGGCTGCCATGTGACCTCTGCCTGCATGCTGTGGCACGTGCTCGGCCTGCCCCCGCCCCGCCCCGCCCCGCCCACACACGGCAAACAAGTCAGAGAACAGTCAGAACCCTTGTACATGAAGTTGACATTG